AAGACATAATAACAAATTAAAAGACTTATTAATGAAATAGTGGGCATACAATTAAGATATATAAATTTTTATATATTTTGTATAAATACATAATTAAACGTCAGATTTACAATAATTAAAGTTGAAATCAATCTAAGGTGTACATATATAGATGTTGGTTGGATATATAAAGATAAATATAAGACATACTGAAGATCTTTGAATTATATGTAGACATTAAATTAGTTTTTTTTTTTTCACGTCCACTTCGTATAAACACATTTCCTCTCCCCTGTCACGCAGTTATAAATAAAATCCGTACTTGACCCTCGTACTTTTTTCCCGTTGAAATGGATTTCGGAAATATTACAGCCTTCCATCACACAAACACTCCAATTTCTGATCATTATGTCTCCCCTTTCGTTTCAGTTTCACGGTGACGTATGACAGGCAACAAATATCTCTGTTTATTGATGTCCCGCGACGAACGAACCCTGCGTCGAAACGGTTCGAATATTGCCTCGTTCCCTTTTGTTTTCGGAAATGGGCGTGATGCCAGCCTTACCCCCCCCCTTCCCTTCCCCTGTGAAAAAGGGGGGGGGATACGATTATGTTCACACTTTGGTGGCAACCGATGAAAGGCATTGGAAAAAGGGCCGTTTGATTTGCAACTTTGTTATAGGTAGTCGCCCTTTGTCCCGCGGTAATGTATCAAATTGAAATGGCGCTCGTCTCTTGCTCTCTGTGTCTGTCCGTCTATGCCTCTCGTTCGCTATCAGGCTACCTGTCTCTTTCATTTTATTTCTCGTTCGCTTTGTCCTTTCCATCTCTTTGTCTTTTTGTTTTATGTCTTAGCCTGTTATTTTCATTTCCGTTTTACTTCTTTCTCACTTTTTTCGTTTTCGTTCTTTATTCCGCTCAGTCGCACTCCCGCGTCACGCCCACCCAGGTCTTCATCCCGGTAGACCGCTCCATCGACAGCCCCTGAAGGTCACTGCAGATCGTGGGCGTCCTTCAGGAAACCCCTGTCACTGCAGCAGCGCCGTGTTCTTCTCATTTCCTCTGGGTGGTTCCTCTGACGTCTGAGATTAGTTGTAGCCCAGTTGTTTTCATCGCCTCCCCGCCAATGCAAAGAACGTTGGACAGTGTGCCAACATCACTAAGGTTGTGTGCGACAGTCATCGCCGCAGCCTTGATGTCGCTCATGACGCGCGTGTGACGTAAGGCTCCACTATTCCTTTCCAACACTTTTACCCTGGTTATTGCAGCAGTTGTCCGTGGGGGCAGTCCAAGCTCCACCAGCTGCGGGAGTTTACTGTTATCTGCAACAGCGTTCTGATGCTCTTATGGGCTTGAAGTGGTATATGAACTAGTTTGCATGCGTTAGTCCATACCGTATTTATGTCGTGTTACATGTTTATATCTGTGTTCATTGCTTGTCATAATCGTCAATTTGTTGGTGTATGTTTAATGTATTTAATGTCTTCCAATCCATGATTTTTGGAGTGTTTCATTGTTGTCTTATTATATTGCATGTATATCGAAGGCTGTTTTTGTTTTGTTAATATTGCATCTGTATCGAAGGCTGTTTTTTAAGTTCCCTAAATTCTTGATAATTAATACAAATGAATAAATAAAATAAAGAAACGGCGCCGTATCCCAGTTATTTTGGGATGATAATATCACGCAATGGCTGTACCTTTCATTACCAATTAAGATCCAGGAACTAAGCTGTCATCTCCCCTTTTCACACTGAAATTCACGACACGCGCCGTTTATGGCCCTGCGCTCGCCGGCTCGAATATCAAGCGGTCCTACGGGGCTCCCTCTCGGTCTCCTCCCAGGCATCCTAGACCCTGGACGTGATGAGGCCCCTGGCTTTGGGCTGCAGTATCTAGGACATGCCACGCCCCCTCCCCCCCCCCATGCCTTACCCCAGGCCTGGGTCCCTTCCCTACCTCTACCTTCACGTCTCGACCTGACCCAGTGCGCCACGCTCTTGCTGTTTAACTATCAACATCTTGACACTCCTCTCCCTCTATTTCTTCTCCTTGTTTAACTTTCCCCCTTATCTGTCTGTTTCATATCTCCTCTCCCTCCCTTACATTTTCTGTTTCCTCTCTCCTCCTGCCTCCCCTACCTCTCTCTGCTTCATCGCCCCCCTTCCCTTCCACTTACCTTCTTATCTCCTTAACTCCTTCTTCTAACTCTCTCTTTCCTTTTCATTTACATCCTCTCATTCAATCTCTTTCCCTTTATTTTCTCTTATTCATCCCCGTCTCTCTCCATCCTTCCCTCTTCCCTTCTCCCTTCATTCCCCTTCTTCCTCTCCTTCTCTCCTCCTCCCTCCATCCCTCTCTTCCCCTCTTCCCTCTCTTCCCCCCCCCTCCCTCCACCCTCCCCCTCCCTCTCCCTCCCCCTCCTTGTTTACCCATTCCCTCTCTCTCCCCTCCCCTTCCCCTCCCCGACGTCCCCCAACGGGCGACAGAGCCCATCAGCGAATACTAGAAATAACCCTCACCTCGATGGTCCCCGAGCGAATGGCGTCCGGACAGCGGCGTCGTGATGACTTGGAGACTGTCCATATCACCTCCTGGCTTCTGCGAAATAGAAATAAAAATGGTTTAAAAAGTGACGATGTGAATTTTTTTTTTTTTGGGGGGGGGTAGGGGTGGGTCGTTTCTAAGATTTTTGTGTACTGGTTGAACTTTATATTTTTTGTAATGTTAGGTTTTGATAGATGTATATATAATTTTGATTTAGTAGAACTTATTCCAATTATATTGGCGATACCAAGCATGAAATTATCGCACACTCATTGCAATTACAGTATATTTCTATCTACACGAATACACATACTGACACGTCCACACACACACACACACACACACACACACACACACACACACACACACACACACACACACAACACACACACACACACACGCACGCACGCACGCACGCACGCACGCACGCACACACGCACGCACGCACACACGCGCACGCACACACATACAGACACACACATACCAAAAAAATCCCGACAGACTAGCACATGTTTAATGATTAACTACATTCCTCCCTCCATTGTTGTGGTTAAGAGATTAATCTTCTTCTTGCACAGCGCAACATGAAACAACTAAAGCAAATTACAAAAAAAACTCCCTCTCCTTTCCCCCTTCCCCCTTCCTTCCACCCTTCACTCTCTTCTCTGACCCCCTCCCCTTCTCCTTCCCCTTCATTCCCCTCCATCCACACCCTTCACTCTCTTCTCTGCCCCTCCCCTCTCCCCCTCTCTTTCAACCGTGTCTTGTTTTCGTCTCTTCTGACGCCTATCCCCTCGCCGTATCCCTACCCCTACCCTTAGTCCTATCCCGAAACCCCTGTACCTGTATCCTTATCCCTACGCCTTCCCTTCCCCTACCCCCGTACCCACCCCTTCCTTTACCCCTCCCCTTACCCCTACCCCTACCCTAGTCTACACCCCCTCCCCTAACCCCTACCCTAGTCTACACCCCTACACCTACCCAAACCCCCAACCCCATCAGCACCCATCTCTTCCCCTTCCCCTCTCCCTCCCGAACCCCTGTTCCCCTACCCTACCTCACCCTCCCTCCTCCCCCCACCCCCATCCCTAACCCAGTCCCGAACTCGCAAAGTCTAACCTGCAGTTCCTGTCTGACCCTTCCACTGCGCCACATTGATACACATGGAGAGAGATGGAGTGATGAAAGGAAGGAGGAAGGGAGGGGAGGAAAGGAAGAGAGAAGGAAAGGAGAGAAGGGGAAAAGGAGATAGATAGATGGGTTGATAGACAGATAATGAGAGAGAGAGAGAGAGAGAGAGAGGAGAGAAGAGAGAGAGAGAGAGAGAGAGAGAGAGAGATAGAGAGAGAGAGAGAGAAGAGAAGAAAAGAGAGAGAGAGAGAGAGAGAAAAATAAGAGAAAGAGATAACGAGAGAAAGAAAGAAAAAGAGATGACGAGAGAGAAAGAGAAAAAAACATAAAACACGAAAAGAGAAACTCCCAAACACAAAACACAACAACCAAATACCCCCCAAAACAAACAACAAAGCAAACGAAACATCCACACAGCCATAAAACAAGCACTGAGAAACCCCATTCTCTTGAAATTCTCTTCCACCACCCAGAGCAAGGGGGCCTAAGCGTAACATTATCCACATTCACATCCAGAAGAAAATAAAGAGTTATGAGAGGATATTCCTGTAAGCAGAGAGGAAGGGTACGTAAAAATGTATTTAAAAGGAGTTGTGTATTACGTATTACGTCGAGAGGGATATAGCGCATCTTTTTCGTTATCTTCACTGGTCTTTGTTATATTTCTTTTTATGGATGTTGCTGTCATGACCATTATTTTTTGGATAAATTAGTGTTTCAATATAATCATCATTACCATTAGTGACATTGCTGTTGTTAATATAGATAACGTTATCAGTGGTATAATCATCACAATCATTTCCATCAATAATCTTATCAACATTATTATTTTCATTATTACTACCCTCATTAACATATCTGTATTGCATGCAATGATAATAACCAGATCACTATTTATTATAATAGTAAGAAAAACAAAAAAGTTAAATAAAAGAAAAAAAAATTGTCGATCAAACTTTCTTACTTATCATCGTTAACTTCCATACTAATTATAAACATTAATGACTCCGCGAGAAACCATGATTACATTCTTAACTAGGTTATATGACATGATTTAGTTCTATGTTCGTTTTTACGTTCTCTTTCTTTCTTCTCTCTTTTTCTCCTTCCCCTTCTTCTCTCTCTCAGTTCCTCTCTTCATCCTCTTCCTCTCTTCTCTATCCTTCTCTTTCCCTCTCTCTCCTCCTTCTGCCTCTGCCTCTCCCTCTCCTTTCGTCTCGCTCTCCCTCTCTCCTCTCTCCTCTTCTCTCCCTCTCCTTCCCTCTCTCTTCTCTCTTTCCCTCCTCTCTCCTTCTCCCTTCTCTCCCTCTCTCTCTCTCTCCTCTCACCCTTCTCCTTCTCTCT